GGGGGGGGGGGGGAGCAGCCAAACAGACAAACAGCAACACGAACACACATACATTGGCGCCGTGAGAGGTGAGAGGCGCTGCTGGTGATAGAGATGCACGGGCGTGATTTGGGTGATGGAGATTGTACATGCGAGGTGGTGAAAGGGGTGCTTGTGCGGTATTTGTTATTCATTGTATTATATTATCTATCTATGATATAATGAATAGGCCGTCCGCTGTAGTTTGTTTGTCACACTGTTTCTGCGCGTGTTTGCGCGTATTTGTGTCTGTGCATTGCTTTTGTGAATCCGTTCTGCGAGGGCACATCCCAACGAGGAGTGTTCTATTTTTGTTTTGGAAAAAATCTATTGTTTGCTCTGTGACGCTCTTGTTTTCTTTTTCCCGTTGGAGGAGGTTGGAAGGGGCAGCAGCAGCAACTAAACAAGCCGCATCCACTCTGAGGAAGCACGGTCCGAGAAGAGGTGCGGGCTGCCTCATTACGGACTGTGATCATCCCACCAGCAACAGCAACTTTAGTTGCGGCATCGACACGCGAAGCAGCAGCGACAAATGGAGGGGGTGGTGTCAGAGCAAGAGTATGGCACAGGGAGCATTGGGGGCGCGCCGCGGGACGGTTCGATGTCCCAGACTGCCACCGATGAACAGCAGCAGCAGCAGCAGCAAAGTGAGGACGACCTCGTGCATGAGGTGCTGGCGATGAATACACTCGCCATGCAGCGATGCAATGCAGAAATGCTAGAGGATGCCGGCACAATTCTTAGCGAGGCGTACATGAAACTTCACAACTACAACACAAACGGCGATCAGCGGCTTGTGGACACATTGCGCTCCACCACACTTAACAACCTCGGCGTCGTGGAGTGCCACCGCGGGCAGCATCGGCAGGCGCTCAGCCACTTTGAGGCTGCACGGCAGCTGGAAGAGGCGTGGGGCGCGGCGTCGCCGTCAGTCGCACTTAACACCTGCGCCGCCTACAACGCACTGGGCATGTACGACAAAGCCACCGCCGCCGCCACTGAGACAATTGACATGCTGCGCACGTTGGCACTCCAAGAGAAAAACGGGGACGTTCCTGCTGCCACCATCACAAATGACGGGAACGGCACTACATTCCAGGGTTCCGGTATCGCCATTGCGAAGTCTGATAATAAAGCGCTATGGGGAGCCGCGTGGCACAACATGGCCGTCGCACAAATAAACACGGCAAAAGGCACCAGGGACCCAACCGAGCACTCCAACGTTGTCGTCCTCTTTCAGAATGCCATGCGCGCAACACAAGAGCTGCTGGGCCGCGACCATTCCATGACAAAGTGTGTTACGGAGACGTACCGAGCGGTGCGGGATGCGCTGCGCACACACGGCGTTTACAAGCAACACCATCGGATGCTCACAGCCCCGCCCCGCCCAGTGGATCCGCGTGATGAGGAGGATGACATGGAGCGGTATCTGCAACAGTCTGGCGGCAAATCGCGACGCCGTGCAAAGGAAAAGTACTACCGCGACCTCACCATCACATTCTTCGGGGAGGCGACGAACGGTGTGAAACTGACGGAGCGGCTTGACCCGACGCCGTACCCTGGCGCGAAGGATGTCGTTTTCCGCCAGAAGAAAGGAAAAAAGATGCCGCCTGTGCTGCGTGGCATGGCGTTAAGTGGAACTCTGCTCAAAGCGGGACAACTATATGGTAACCCGCATCCACTCTTATATTCGTTGCCGCCCAACTACCACTCGACAACAAATACGGCGCCAACGCTGAAGGATGGCTTCAACACCGCGACTGATTCTTGCGCAGAGATGACGCCTAACACCCCTGCAGACGCAGTTTCCGGCAGAACGCCTCCCAAACGCCGCCCGGGGAAGCCCAGCCAGAAGTCGGCATCCGCATCTTATCAGCAGTCATCCTACAAGGAACAAAAAAACCAATCGCATCATGAGCAGCATCCGAAAAGTCAAAGACAAGACAACCCAAATTACCAGCATTCTCCGTCGAAATACACACAAACGCAATCACAATACCAGCAGGCCCCGCCCAACTACCAAGAGGCTAAACCGAATTACCCACAGGCACCCCCGGGTTACCAGCAATCTCCATCGGGGCAGCGAAAGGCTCCGTCCAGTTACCAGCAAACCCCAGCAAAATACAACCACACTTCCTCTAAATACCAGGAGTCTTCGTCGAATTACCCTCCGACGGATCCGGAAAGTTTTGGAGATGTTTCAAGCAGGCATCCAGTTCCACAAGAAGGGTCGACTACGTCCAAAACGACGTATCCAGCGTCCACCCAGCGGGCCCCACGTCCCCCGTCAGCTCAACGACCAGGATCAGGCCGGCGCCTTCTCCCTCCACTGAAGAAAACGTCAACGCGAGGTGACGGTGGTGTTGGGGGCACAGTAGTGGCCCCTGTGCCAGGTAGGGAAGCTGGAAGTGCTGGCTCTGGAAGACAGGCACCTCAGCTCACGTCACGCGTCTCGGTACCAACAGCGGGGCCCATCTACGAGCAAATTAAGTATATTTTGCTAGCCGAGCCTCAGGAGAACCGGCCACAACGCGGTGAAACGGGACGGGGATCGTCGCCGGGTCCTACACGTCCTATCTCCGCGTCGAGCAACAACACGTTACAGACAGCCGAGTGTGAGTTGTTGACGGATGTAGACGCAGGCAAGGCACATCCTCTCTTCAATGCAATGTGGGTGTCTACCAAGCCATCTTTAGATGCCAACACAGTTCGGACCGTAGGGAGGCCCAGCTACTACGTCACCTCTGTTGTGGACCTCACCAAGGAACAGGTTGCGCTTCCAGAGGAAGTATTGCAGATGATGGTTGAAAGTAGCTCCTCCTCTATGGATGATACTCCGCCCCTGAACCTCTAGAGTGATCAATGAGCACCTTTACAGTCCAAAAAAACTTCGGCTGAAGTACGATGTGACGGCGCCAATGCATGTACTATACGGTTGAACTACAAAAATGCAGATGACGCCTGCTGTGAAATGTATAGGATCATACGATTTGTGTCGAGTAACACATGGGAAGGGATTAGAATGATGGGGGTGGGGAAGATAATGGATGGCGTGCAGGATTTATACACCCACTTTAGAAGAAGAAGAGAATGAAAGAAGAAAGAATGAATGGGCGTGCCGTTGTTCACGCTGCCCCCTTCGATATTTAAATTCATTCCTCGTATTGACTTGCCGCCATTTTTTCTTGACGGCATCCCCGTTTTTAAAACCCATCCACGTCCTCGGCACGACGTGCAATTTTGTCTCACGGCTTTTTTTTTTTGTACGATGAGAAGTTGTGTGCACGGCGCATGTATGACTGTTTCCTCGACGCCACCTTTTGGCTGTGCCAGACTGCCTGTACTCTATTCGAGAGCAGCTGAGGCAATAAGTGCAGAATCAGGCCAGTACTTGTTACCATTTCCTCTTTTCTACTCATATTGTGTCTGATGTTGCTGGAAGCCTTTAGTTAAATTTGGAGTTTTCGTGTAGATACGTGCACAGCCTTTCTCTCACGTACACACATACAGAAAAGCAACAACCAAAAGTGCGTGTGGAGAGCCATATATGGCGTTAGTGCACACTCCATCCGGAAGCGGTGCTATATGCACGGTACGCAACAATGATCCCGCGACCCCTGCCGAGTTGCAGCGCAGGCATGAAGCAGGCTGCCTGCCGTACCCAAGCCATCTTGCCCACCGACTTGTTGTCGCCCCCGCAGCGTCTGTTGTGCCGCCATTAGCTTTTGAATCCGCGGCTGCTAAGTCTCCCGAGGAGGAGCGGTGGATGGAGGAACACCGCGCGGCCAACGAGCGGGACCAACAGCGGCAGGCGCGGTACGGCGCGCTCCTTCGCAGCCACCATGTCCCCGTTGTGCCCTTTTCCACCTTCAAGGAGCGGCAGGGTAAAAACCGCCCCATGATTACCAGTGAGGAGCTCAAAGCATGGCGAGAGCATTCACGGTGGGGCGTGCGTGGCGACGACTACGTCATGTGCAGGGACTTTCACCCTGGGCCTGGAGCGTATCTTCACCGTGGTGGGTACCCCCCTTCCATGGTCTCGCAATCTACAGTGCAACTGGAGCGAATCTATATCCGCGATGTGGCACCCCTACCGCCACGCCAACTGCCTTCGTCAGATCCGTCGCGCCGACTTCCGTTATCGGGTTGCAAGTCAATTGTGGCCCCCATATAACATCGGCGAGTGCGGAAGTAGTTCGAAGTTTTGGAGAGTCATTTCTTATCGTCTTTTACTGTACATGGTTAGAACACCACAATGAGTTGCGGTGTCATTCCCAGATGAGACACACAATGCGTTTGGTAATAAGAAAGTTCTACTTTTGTGATCCTTCCTTTGTCCAACCACGCACATGCCTTACTTTCTCTGTTTTCTAATTTAAAAGGTTTAACGTGCATCTATGTGAAACTACAGCGGTACATTAATATTATCACGAGAGCGGTTGCGTTCTTTAGGGTACTCCATCGCAGGAGATTGTCCTACAGGGGAATGATGTGCCTGTGCACAGGGCCAAGACCAAGACCGATCGGAGCCCGCGCGTTGTGGGTGGCTGTGGCTGTGGCCGAGTGAACGAATGTTATACAAGTTAGTGAACATGTTAAGATGTAGTGCCTTTTTGTTGTGAAAGGTCGGGAAGTGGGCTTGGACAGGGCCTTTTACTTTCATCATGGCAGTCACACCATGCTGGCCACATTGTTCTTCAGACATCGTTTGAAGGCTAAGCCGAAAAAAAAGAGGAGGAGAAGGAGGAGGAATTCTGTGCATAGCCCACCGGCGTCACCCATGCGGTGTTCGAGGGTTTCTGCTAACCCCATGGATTTAGCTAACACCAATTTGTGCTTGGTACTGGTTCCACTTGTTTGGAAGTGCTGTATCCTCTTGAATCGCCTTTTTTCCACCTCCCCTCCCCTTGTGTGCACATTGACGACAAACACCACACGTAAAGCCACTGCAAACAAAAAAGAAAGATGGATCACAACGCTGAGAAACAGGAAATAAAGCGTCTCCACACGAAGCACCGTGTCCGCAACGCGGTTAGTATGTGGTGGCTGGGTATGATAAACAACTTTCACTACACACTGGTGCTCTCAGGCTCTACCGGAATCGCCGAAAGCTACAACATGACGAAGTACGTTGCTCTGATCACGTGGGCCAATGTGTTTTTTGGTATTATCTCGCGTATCGTAAATGCCTTCTTATTGCCATTGGTGTCCTTTAACATTCGTGTGACGGCGACATCAGTTATGGGAATCGCGGCGGTGCTGCTGGTGAGCTTCGCGTGGGACATTGGTGGCCACAAGGACGTGGCTGCCTTCATTGTGATGTTGGTTGGAGTCACCTTTATCGGTATTGCGAGTAACTACGGTGAGGCTGTTTTCCTCGGCTACATGGAACGTATGCCGTCGAAGCAGATTGGCGCGTGGTCTTCAGGAACGGGTCTGTCTGGTGTGTGTGGGTTGTGCTCTGATAGCGCCATTGCAATGATGCCGGCATGTACGGTGTAAGGATTAGTCTAGTGTCTATTTGCGGTGTGTTATGATCGCACCTTGGCGCCTGCTTGCCTTCGCTTTTCTCCCCGTTTTGGCGTCCCTTATGGTTGCGTACCTCGTAACACCTTATCACCTCATGGGAGAGAGCCTGATCGGATGTCAGGCGGGCGTTTACTCAAGTAGTTGCTTGACGCACTGCAGCATCGCCTCCGGGACGGCGGTTGCTGTCATGGATGGCGTGTGCAGTGTGGTGTTGCGGACCCGGGTGCACTGAGACGGCGAGGAAACAACTGCGTCGTCCTCGTCGTCGCCGTCGCCAATGACTGCGATCTGTCGTTGTTTGCAATAACGGCGAGTCGCGTGGTGTGATGTGCTGAGTGGGGGGGGGNGGGGGGGGGGCGGGGTGTGCGTGTCTGCTTCCTTCCTTGTTTGTTCTAGACATTGTATTCATGGCTGCACCTGCTTTACTCGACGATGAGTGGGCATCCTTGACGCCTTTCTGTCTCCCTTTCTCTCTTGTGCTTTCTTCTTTTTTTTTGTCTGCTTACTGTTGTCACATTGCAATCATGCACCACGAAGCTCGTGGTGCATGCATTGTGCAGTTGGCCTCTCGCCAGACTACAGCAGGTAGTGTGTGGGTGAGTGTGGGATCTTGCAACAACAACAACCACAACAACAAAAGCAGCCGCAGCAGCAGTGATAGTGAGGGATACAAGCAGCAACACTGATTGCTTTTTTCTTCCTTCGTGTGCCTGTGTGTGTGCATCTGTAACAGGGGCACCAGAAAGGACAAGAAGACACCGGTGAGTCTGTGCGTGTGTGTGTGTGGGAGTACACAAAAGAAAGAGGACCCTTCAACCGCGTTCTCTCCTTCACTCACAGGGAGGGCGCGTGAGGCGGGAGAAGCACTGGTAGAGCGGCACGAGCAGCACCGTGGCGCAGAGAGAGGAGAGGAGAGGAGAGAGAGAGAGAGAGAGAGAGAGAGAGATAGAGAGAGATAGGGAGTGAGGAGTAGTCAGGCGTGCGACACGTATGCTCCGACGAGTGTCGCTGCTGTGCTGCTACAGCGTGCCGCCGCTCTCCCGCGTCGGTATATTTCCACTGCACTTAGACCCGCCAACGGTACAGCACCGGGAGATCTTCCGCCTGCTGATTGGCGACACCAGCAGCGACACAGGCAGTGGTGGCAGCAGCAGCCCTGCCCCAGGCTCACTGTGGTGCCTCGAGCCCCTTGCGGAGAGCCTGAAGAGCAGCGAGCGTGTGCCATTTGACTACCTCATTTTGGTGCCCAACACACGCTTTCCGGTTGCGCTGCGCCTCTCTACTCACCTCGCTGCGTTGACAAAACTCGCGACGCGTGGGTTGCCGCGTGTGTGCGTTGATTTCACTGCCCTCGAGCACCCGGACGAAGACATGCCTTGCGTCTACGAGTTAACTCAGAAATACAAGAACAGTACTCTTGTACATTGGCTGCAGGACGCCCATGAGATGCAGAAGTGGACACACTTTAGCGACGTCAAGCTCCGAGTGCCGATGCTGTTGCTGCAGACGGTTAGCTTCCCCGCCAGCATGGTGGGCAAACCACGCGATCCGCGGATCATAGGTAGGACAAACAGCAGCAGTAGTTGGGGTAGTATTAGTAGCAGCAGCGGTGGATTGCCCTCTGCGTCAGACGCCGTGCCCCAAAAAGAGCAACAGCAGAAGCGTGATGCTACCGGGTCCACACTCTTTGACATCTTCGACAGCCGAGAAGGCCGTAAGAGATCCCAGTGTTGGGTGGCTGAGGGGCGTGGTGAGGAGGAAGTAGAGATCAGCCGGTCGTACAAGCGCTCCGCAACAGCGTCGTGGTTGGAGTCCCCCGACACGTCGCTGGTCTTAGACCCCGTCGGTGCCGGCAACACCTTGGGCAGCAGCAGCAACAGCAACGGAAAGAATCAGAGTGGCAATACCGGTAACAGTTCCATCGACAATAACAGCATCAGAGGCGCGGCGTCACACGAGAGCTACAGTGTGGCGTGTGACGGCCGCCTGCTTTCGACGAGTAGCACGGACGGTGCTGGTGACGAGGCGTCGAATGACACGATGCCGGCGCGCCGAAATGTCCGCCAACTCGTTGAGGAGCTCTTCTCGACGCTGCACCATGTGGAGGGTCTGTACGATCGCACTGCCCTGCACAAGCCGCTGCCGCACGTGGAGGTGCATTCTGTGCATCGCTCCACCGGCGCCGACGTGCGGCACGCGCTGTGGGAGCGCGAGGTGGACCCGATGCTGCTGCTGACGGAGCCGGTGTACCGCTACGTCAGCAGCCACGGCCTCTACCACGACTACCGCAAGGACGCCTACCCCAAGATGGCGCACGCCACCCACAGCGTTGTCACCGGAAGCAGCGGCAGCAGCAGCAGCACCTGGCGGAAGGGCAAGATGCCGTCCAGCGGCTTCAGTGCCACGCTGTCGTTCTCCGGCCTCATTCCGAGGCTGGAGCTGCACTACGACAAGAACAACCTGCTTGCCCGCGAGTACTACGAGAAGCTCAGCGCGTTTCAGGCGGGGCGCGACGAGGAGCCGGACCTCATCGTTCCCATTGGTGGCGACGGCTACATGATGCACTGCATCCGCAACAACTGGAACCGCTTTATCCCCTTCTTTGGTGTCAACGCGGGGCATGTGGGCTATCTGCTGAACGACGCCTCGACGCTGGAGGAGCTGTTCGCCGCCCCACTGAAGCTGCACACCACAACGATGCTGTACTGCCTCGCCGAGAAGGAGACGCAGACAGGAGAGAAAGTGCTGCTGTCGGAGCTCGCCTTCAACGACGCGTGGGTGGAGCGTTCCACCGGGCAGACGGCGCTCATTCGCATTCTCGTCAACGGCGAGGAGCGCATCCGCCAGCTGCGCGGCGACGGCGTGCTGGTGTCGACGGCTGCCGGCAGCACAGCCTACTGCCAGGCCCTCGGTGCCTCGCCCGTTCCCGTTGGCGCACCACTCATCCAGGTCGTCGGCAGCAACGTTGTCTCGCCCGCGCAGTGGCGACCGGCGCACCTCAACCAGGAGGACCAGGTGGAGCTGGAGGTGATCGACAGCTTCAAGCGGCCGTGCCGCTGCTTCGTGGACTCCGTCGACGTCGGCAACGTCACGCGCATGCTGGTGCGCTCAAGCCGCGCGGCGGGGGTGGTGATCGCCTTTGCGGGCAGCTGCGACCTGCAGCAGAAGTTGTACCAGATGCAGTTTCCGAAGACATTCTGAGGAGTGCATCTCTTTTGCTTTAGATGTATGCCTATGCGTGTATCTAAGCACAAGGGTGCACATATATTGCACACTCTTCGTTTTTCTCTCACTGTGTGTAGTTGGCTTGACTCAGAGAGAGAGAGAACAGTGAAGATTGCGTGTTTGCCTGGGTGTTTTTTTTTTTGTTTTTGTTTGTTGCGAGCGTGCTGTTGTGCGATGGATGTGTGGGGGTATATGGAGGGAGGCAGATGATTCGTACTGTGTGCTGGAGGAGGAGGAGGAGGACGACAAGAACGAAGCAAACCCCCCCCCAAAAAAAAAGTTAAGAGAGAGGACGAAGGAGCGGAAGGGTCGTAAGGAAGGTACCGACACGAAGAAAAAAAAAAGATGGTAACACAGGTAGGGTCAGCACCACACTCAAGGAGCCTCCAAATGCAGCCAGAGGAGAAGGTAGCAAGCAAGATGGTGGCGATAAATGACGGCACGTGTTATGGTGAGGATATACAGATATACATCTACCTATATGAGGTGCCTTTTACTCCATTCTCTCCTCGTCTCTCTGTGTCTCTTACATACACACATGCGTACTTGCATGTTTATTTATATACATGCTTGAATGTATGCGTTTCTTTTTGACGCATTTGATGAGAAGATCATATAGACAGATGTATATATATATATATATATATATCTGTGTGTGTGTGTGTGTGTGTCTTCGTCACATGTGTGCCTCACAAGCAACCTGTCTCGCTCGCGTTCAACTCCCTCTGCACAGCTGCGTTGCGATGTCACAGCATTTTCCTGCATGCTGTGTGGCCTGTTCAGTCTTACTGCCCGTCTGTCTCTCTCTCTCTCTCTCCCCTTTCCAATCTCTTTCTTTCGCTGTGTGCGAGCTCACTAATAGATTGTGCGAGGACCGCAAGACACCTTCACCCCGGCGTCTACACACAGACACAGACACACAAGCACATGATACAGAGTGATGGGAGCCAGCAGCGGCAGTTCCTGCGCCGCGGAGAACCCGTCGCTGGGGCAACACTCCCTGTTGACCCCTCCATCGTATTTGACGAGGTGAGGGGCACGCTTGTTGCCACACAGCTTGGTAGCCAGCAGGCAACACCGTCCATGTCACGGCAGCGCCCTCGCTTCGCCACCGCCCGCGACCTCGACGACGCGCTGCTGCAGGCCATTGAGGGCAAAATCACCCGCAAAAACGCGTGGGCGTCGAAGGACGCGAGCAACCTGCTGGAGGGAATCACCCACACTGTTGAGAGCACACTTGACTCCGCCACCGCTGCCGACGAGTACTCCAGCTTCGCAAAGGTGGCGACGGTTGTGGAGGGCTGCTCGAAGGTGTGGACAAGTCGTGTAGACAGCACGTACCAGCGCTCCAACCAGATGGTCCGGCGCCTGCTGCGCAACGAAGAGGGCGACGGTGGCGCCGGTAGCGACGACGAGGGGAATGGTGAGGACGGCGATGCTGCCGCCGCCGGCAGTCCAGCAGCAATGGCGGCAGCCGAACGCAAGCGGAAGGCGGCTCAGCGCCGTGCACAGTCGGCGCGCACGCTCGCACTGGACCCGTCGGAGATCAACCTCGACAGCAAGGCGCGTGTGGCCCTCGTCCACACCGGCGTGAGCGCGCAGTTTCGCGCCATCACAGAGAAGTTCGACCAGGGAAATGCACAGGGGCTGCTTGTGCACAACACACCGATTGGGGGCGCCGGCAATTTGATCCTCGACGTGGACTACGCCCGTGAGGTTGGACGTGAGTACTCTGCCCGGCAGAACCGGCTCTCTGGCGGCTCGCAGCGCGTGAAGCAAGAAGCACAGACAGAAGAAACAAGAGTGTCTGCTGCTTCTGCGGAGGCTGTTCTAGANTCCGATCTCGGCCTAGACGCGCCGCTCGATTTGCCGCCGTTCCCGCCCGAAGTGGTGTTGGATCCGTCCACAGGGCACAGCCCGAACTCCGCGGATGGCGGCTTTGGCGGTAGAAGCAGTGGAAACAGCGGTGGGGCGGACAACAGCACGAAGGCGGAGGAAGAGGCGGGTCGGCCGTCCATCAGGCTGCCGTCGCTGCTGCTACTGCCACACACCGCAGCGCTTAAGGAAGAGGAAGAGATGCGGTTCGGCGGCGGGATTGGTGTTACTGCCGACGGACAGGGCGAGGGGGAGGAGGGGCAGCAACGCGGGATGCCGACAGAAGCCCCGCTGTTTTCCCAGCAGTATCCACACGACGGGGGCTACAACGATGAGGTGGACGGCGGGGACTGGGGTGGTGGCATGGACTATGGTGATGATTATGATTACGAGGAGAATGACGACAGCGGCATCACCGGCGGCGATGCAAACAATGAAACGCTACGCGAGCGCGTTGCTGTGGAAGCACAACACCTGGTTTCGGGCGTGGCAGAGCTGAACGCCATGGATGGCCGCCTCTTTGGCGAGAATCGATTGGCGCTTGAGGCGGAGGACCCCACGTCGTGGTTCCCACTCGTGGAGCCACCAACAAGTAATTTGATGGGCGGCGCCACACACAAAAACTCCGAGCTGTTGCGCCTCCACAAGGAGCACCGCCTCGCACAGCAGCCTCCACCCTCACAATTGTCGTCCACACCGGCGGCAAAGCGTGTGAAACGTGAAAAGACCATTGCGTTTGACCTTCCGGGGGAGCTGGCCGCCACCACTGGTGCTGCTGCTGATGCGGAGACTTCTTCCGCCTCGTCTTCCTTTCTCTTCGGTGGGGGCGGCGTCGACAGCTCGGCGCTTAAGCAGAGCACCACCGCCGCGAAGAACGTGACGCCACTGGGGAAGGAGCTACTGCTGGGCCGGAACCCCAGCGCGGTGCTTGCCTTTACACAAAGCGCGGTGCAGCGCACCAAGGCGCAGGAGGCTGGGCTGCTGCT